CATATTATTTGAAAACAAGTAAAGTGTGTGCTGTTTATTCTTCATTGAATTTATTGCTAACAAGTCACAGACACCTACTGTAGAAGAATCCAAGCCCAACAACAAAATAGTATATATTTATACTATTAAGAAATATAAGTAAAAGCCATTTATTTCGTGAATTAGCAAAAAGAATAACATATATATATTATTTTTAAAATTTGACACTTACCTCTCCTCACAAATAGCTTTTCTCGACTTGTACTGCACTCTATATGCCCAAATTTTTGCTCACAACTAGTCTTGATACACCTACCTACCCCCACATGTATTCACTGAGACATCTGCATGCTATCATGCAAATAATCATAAAGCAACCCTCCATCAATAGGAGTGCAACATAAGTCCTATCATCACTAGCACCCTCTCTTAGGTGCAGCCTGTAATCATTTTGAGATTGGGTAGTACACACAAAATCTGCAATGGAAGTGGGCAGGATGGGTGGGAAGTGTTGAAGAAAATTTTAACTTCCGATAAGATATCTTGCCTCTTCTCAAAATAGCTAGAAACCAACACTGAGATGGCAGAGGATCCAGTGAGAAGATGATCCCCTTTTAGAAAGCAACCATAGACCATGGGGGTGTTCAAATAAACAGAAAACAACCCCTCCCCATGAGAGACCACACCATTTTGAGCCAGGTATACTCTTTGCCCACATGAAAATGTGTCATAATAGGGGTGGTAAAAAGGAGAGACCTCCCCAGCATTAATATGTGTACACATCCAACATGACTATCACCATATCCACTGATAGCTGACATCCACAAGATCGTAGGAAGGTGAATAGCAAAGTGGGGTGCATCTCCAGTCCATCAATCATTCAAGTGGCAATTGGGAATCTATTGCACAGCCCACGGTAGGAGGAGGGTACACCAGGGCACACGTGTGAAATAAAGGACCCAGGTGTACAGTGGCTACTGCTCATTAGAGCATAAATGGGAGATCGACCTTAACCAACACCAAGTGAAATGCAATAGGAATATCCAGCCCACGATTGGAAGAGGATACACTAACTTTCTCTTCAGATATGAGAACTGGTAGCGAAGATGATGCTTCATAACAAGGATACACATCATCATGTGCGCACGTACAATACAACCATCACCCTATCGGCCAAGAACTGAAATCCGAGGGACAGTAGGAAGGTGAACAGCAAAGTGGGGGTGCATCTACGGTCCATTACTAAGTGGCATTGGGAATATATTGTCCAGTCTGTGGTAGGATGAGGGTACCCAGCCACACATGTGGCTGGTCCAGCTCCAAGCATAACCATATCTTTTGGGAACTGACATCCAGGAGATGGCAGGAAGGAGAGTGTCTTAGCTGGAGGTGTGAACTGCATGTTGGTGGAAAGCATCAACCAACACATAACAGCATCTGGAATTGTACATCAGGTCTGTGGTAGAATGAGCATCAACACCATCCAAACCAGCAGAACACCACCGCCATTCTCTCAACTGAGTAGGATTGAGCACACTCAAGAGGAAGTCTTCATGGTCCACCACCACAGCAAATAGAAACTGGTAAATGGCAAGGACTCCCTTACTCTACCAGAAGAAAGTGGGAAACAGCATGTTGGAGAATCCAGAGGAACACTGCACCAGAGACAATGCAATATCTTATTTTGAAAATCAGGGCGATCCAGTTACCTACAATACACGGATCATCAGGGATGGGAAATAATCCTTGTCTACTTTACTCAAGTTAGTCCATGTGTGTACGATCCAGGAAAAAAATCCTTATGAAGCAAAATACTGCAAGACATACCTATAAGTGGTCTTGCAGACCACCCCATCTTAATGGTGGACATTTTTGACACACAGGTCTTACAGTGCAGGTTTAAGAATAAGTATACTTTTTCAGGCAATACTCGCCACTGAGCGGGATACAACTATGCAATAAAGGCCTCTTCAAAAAAAAATGGCAATAGCAACAGGAGGAAGATGAAACCCTGTAAGAGAAGAAACTGATAGGTGGGAATGATAATAAACAGTGAAGGTATTGGGAGTGGTCCACATACTGAAGAAAATGATGTCCTCAAACAGATGATAGAAATGGTAAGGTGACAGATTTTATGGGAAGATAAAGGGAAAAAACGACAATCATCAATAAGCTTGGTAAATCTAACCTGTAAGATAATGGAAGAAAGGTCACAGGACTGGGAAGGATTCTAAAGAAGAAATAACCGGAAGTAGGAACCACTGAAGGAATCAGCGTACACCACATAACAGTAGAGAGCCCAGACATGGCAGAGGAGGCAATCAGGACCAGAACAGTCATAAAGGTGGAATATGGAAGGAAGGGGGATAGATGTGAATGTGGAATTACCCTCCCAAGTAGCTGAGGCTTTGGGCAGAAAAATGATGATCTGGGAAAAAATCACATAGAAACTGTGAAACAAGGTGTGTTGAACCTCAATAGCAAATGATGAAAAGGATCTTCAAGGAGAGGTGATATAAAGAACATGTCAACAAGGGTTCAAAAGAAGGAAAGGTAAGGGCATGAATGATGACACTGAGGTTCCAATCTGGGAGAGAGGCAGGGCAAGGAAAATGGGTGAAGTGGAGGGAACAGAACCAAAAGGGACAGGACTAGTGAACTGATGATATGGGCACAACGTGTAAAAACGATACATGGCTGACAAAGCCTCGCAATAGCTTGCGATAGAAGGGACAAAAAGACCCCTGTCAAAGAGCCAAGCTAGAAAGGAAGTGATATAGGGAA